ACGCGATTGCTTCTCATAAAATTGTATGCAGTTTATAACGGTCTTGGTTATTTTTAGAGTAAGCAATTTTCATAGACAGGGTGATCCAAAAGTTCCGCGACACCGGCAACAGGCATCACACCTTAACTTCTGATCAGGTTGAGATACAGACTTGAAATTCTGCGAGTGCTCCTAGGTCAAAGGCAACGACTTTTTGGACCCCCGAAACTTTGAGGGGCTCGCCCTGCAGAACGGCAAGAGCCTTAGGGGTTTCGGACGGTGATGCAGGACTTTTGGATTGCCAGGTATGTGAGAATACTCAAATCCTCAGATTGATACAGTTTATTTTGCTATTTTTTGATGTCCATTTCTTTGATTACTTGGACAAGATTCTTTTTGGCATAGTGGAAAAATGGGAATGGACATTAAATGAATAGGAACTAAATAAACTTACATAAAATATAAAAACTAACGAGCATATTCCTTCATTTCCACCCGTCTCTTCTTTCTTTTAGCATAAATACGTCCACTCTGATACTCATACGTTCAATTATCATGAATAGATTGGTTCCAAATGAGATCCCATTTTGAATGAAGACTGGGAATTCAAAGCCTGTCTGGAAGCGCCATCAACTATTAAGTTAATAATATGCATGGAGATGGTCACTGTAAAAGAGCCTAAATACATTCGTTTTCTAAAAAGAAAACGAACGTTGAACGTATTCGTTTTCTTTTATGAAGAAATTCTCTCAAATGTTATTATTTTTTTTTTTTTTGGAGTGAATACATTTTTCCTTTGAGACCACTGGATTCCGGTTGAAGGAGCGGAATAGTTGCTCATAATTTTCAGACCACCTGATTGCGCTGACGAAATTTTGATTTTCCAATCCTCATCAATTCATCCGAATAAGCAGGATTTTAGATCAGCGAAAATAAAACAGAGCTCCTCAAATTTTTAATTGTTTTAAAAGCACGAATGCCTTATACAGTGGGAAATTTATATTAAAAATAAAATCGGGATATTTCCGTGTGTTCTGTTTCCTTTTTATTGAACCAAAATTAATTTTACGCGGATGAAGTTTCAGAATTTCTGCATCGCTTAAACATCGTCCGAGTTTCTGAACCGTTGCAATGATACATATTTACCCTATGATGAAGGTAAAAACTGGGCAGAGACCGTCAAAAGGAAATGACGCATGGTCCTAGTTTTGCGACGATTTTCGCGCAAGCCAGGGAAGGGAGCGCGGTCGAGTGTCGAGTCATCTTCACATAGTGTGATATGCGCCTTCAATTTAGTCAGCGGCGATGTGCAAATATCTGTAGTCGAACAGGTATCGCAAACAACCCTCGCATTGCTTTTGGTGCAATGCGAGAAGTACTCATGCAGTCTTGTAGGCGCTCATATGCGTTCGACGCCGACCGCACCGTTTGGCGCAATGCGTGAAGTATTCTTACAGTCTTGCAGGCGCTATAATATGAGTGTGACATCGACCGCACCGAGTTTGGTGCGATTATTCGAACTCGCGTTAGGATAATCGCGGCATCGAACAACGGGGCTTAAAAGGCCCATGTTATGTTTCGACGCCGTGTGAGCATTCCAACGTTGCCTCGTTTCTCCCGATAAATTTATTTTTCTAAGAAAAGTAAGGAAAGCGCTCTATATTCGGTTTTTTTTTTATTTAATCGACCATTAAACAAAGTACGATTTTAAGCACTCTAATACAAGATTCTTCACCAAAATTTCACGCAGAACACGATTCGCGCAACGAAAACTACCGAAATCAACTTCTATCTCAGATAAAAAACGTTTTTATTGTCCATTGGTTACGGGAGCTTTAAATTACCCGGTTACAAGAAAAACAAAACCCTACGTGAGTCAAATTGCGCTCTACATATACAACGGCTTTAGCAGACTACTCAATCGAACACTGAGTTGTTCAAAGCGTGTACAGCTTGAACTGAGAGTCAAGATTGAGATTGCCATATTTTATCTGTCATAATGGCGTTTGACGTGCAATTTGACTCAAGTAAATTATTCCCTCTTCCATGAGCGGAAAGGTTAAATTTATTCATGAAAAACGTCATTACCACGGTTAGGAGTTTATCTCGGGTTAGGATTTCGATCCCTTGAGCTTGACGTCCACCGATCGATATCCTCGTTGCCTATTGGTGTTCACACCGCGAGCCTGGAATCCTAGGATCGAATGATCGTGGATTTTTTCCTGCTTTTGATTTACTCATTTTTTCATTTTTTTACAAATGAGAAAGAAGCTAACCTTATAGCTTGAAATATTTATAGAATATTCTGCCGAAGGAGAAGAAAATTTAAGATGGTTTTAAATAAATTATGTAGAGTAAGGCAGGGAGTCGGCTTCTGCAACGTCGTAGAAGGAGATCAGTGGCCTCACAATTTGTTCATATCTCGTTCAAAGCTGATCTCCGAACTTCTCGGTGTGTGAATAGTTTCTTTAAGACAATTTTGGACTGAAAAAATGGACGGGGGAAAAGGAAGCGATACAATTCGTACAGAGAAAATTACCAGCTTAGAAGCAGTTGTATTTTTCCTATTTTCAACGCAGTCTTTCATGAAAATTTTTGTTTAATAGTAGTTCTTTCAAGCATAAAAATTGACCCCTACGTCTTTAGGTAATCTTGCACTTATCGCGAGTTTGTACATATGGTCTCAATTAAATCCAAAGGAGCCAAAATTCATTCGGACATGAGCCCCGTTACGCATGTATTCTTATGGATCTCAAGGCCCATGGCTCAATGCACATAGTTCCTTTCGATTTAAATGCGTCCAATTAGAAGTGATTACTAAGGTTCTTGCTTACGATATAACTAGTATTAAGGCAGTAGAGCTCTCAAAGTGGCGTCACATGGGGTCACGTGACCCTCCATTGCCCTCAAAGATTGTCGGCCCGACAATCTTTGAGGGTGACGAGACCCCACGTGACGCCACACTATGGTCCCAATTCACTTTTCAGTGATCAAAAATCATAGCGGCTCTCCGTTTGAGTATAAATACATTTAAGATATGTTTTCCTCATGATTTTGATGCGCTGAATCCGAATTTGACCTCCGATTTTCCCTAAAAAATCATTTGCAAAAGTTACCGTCATTTTTTCACATGAATCACAAACTGCCATACGATTGGCTTGTTATACTTGCTTAGATTGGATGAAAACCATGCGTTCATTGCACATACATGTACAGTTCATGCAGAATTAAGGATGTTTTAATTTTTTGACACCCCCCCTCCCAATTTTTTTTTTTTTTTTAATTTTTTTTTTTTTTTTAAGGATAACTAAACTGAAAAAAATGAAATAGATCTGAAATTCATTTGTATTTTAAAAATGTCGAAATAATGCTTCAGAGAAGACTTTTGTTTATGTTGATTTGCCGGGAAACGCAAATCGGGTACATAAGAATGTTGAAGAGCGGGGGGTGCAATATTGTCACATTAAGGAAAATTCAATCAACAATGGATAAATATTCGGGGACTAAGGAATTTTACATCAATAGGTACTTTCTAGGATGGAAAAGAGCATTTTTAAAGATAAAACTGCGGAACGGAAAACTTTTCAAAAAATCTCAAAAAGTAGGGGGGACCAATTTTTTTTCGAAACGGTCAACCTCAAAAAGATTCATAGAAGCTACATAATGGCGTCTCTGTAGATGCAAAATTGCTTTGCACGTGTTAAGGCTGCAATAATTACAGGTGTTTTTCAGGGCAAAAAATTGAGTTTTTCTGGAGCAAACACTTAGTCACGTAAAAAATTCAAATTTGGTCGAAAAAGCGGGTGGAAGCAATTATTTTTGGTTCGGTTGCCTTTCTAAGGATCTGTAGGAACGACTTAAAAGTGTCTCTGGAGGTGCCAAATGTCTCAGAATATTTTTCGAGGGGCTTTCCAGGGTTGTAATACAGTATTTTGAAGGAAACACGCAGGTACGAAAAATATTCAAAATTCGTGCAAAAAGCAAGAGGAACCAACAATTTTTGGTTTAAAATCCTTCTTAAGGATTCATAGAGACCACTTGAGCACGTTTTTGGAGGTGTCGCGTGCCTCAAAAAAGTATAAGACGACTGCAGATTGATCGATGGCTAAACTTGCTAAATACCGTTATTTTAGCCACCGACTTAGAGACCTAATAAATTCGATTTCTCGAGAAAAAGCAAACCAAAGCACGAAATATTTCTACTGTAGCTTCCCAAGGATGTGTAGAAGCTCCCTAAAGGTGTCTCATTAGGTGACCTTTGGTGACTTTTTTTTAAAATGAAAGTACGTGGGAAAAATCGGCATTTTTTCATGAAAAATAGGTACCCAACTTCTACCTTGTGTAGAATGTATCAGAATGCCTCGGAGAAAAATTGTAATTAGTGCGTTACAATCCTCTTAGAGTCCTCTACAAAATGGTACAAGCAAAAATTCTGAGAGACCATTTCATGATTCAGGAGAGGCTCCGAACGCTTTATTAGAAATAGCCACTTCACGGGTCAGAAAATACATATCCGACTATTCGCACAGTTTGTGACACTTTCAAAGTGACTAGAAATTTTTTTGAGGTATACTACGTGTAGATTATGACCCGTAGATACTATATTTATCAATTTTGACTCGAAAAAAAAATGTCGTCCAATTTCATAAATATCGATTTTTGAGCGCTCCCGAGCGGATTGGGACCATAGTGCGCCACTTTGAGAGCTCTACTTTGATCGTCTGAAACGGGCTTAGAATAATAGCTATACTAGAAGGGTAGCAGTCGGCCATCTTTGCTCCGATTCTTGAAATTCCCGCTACCCCGCACAGCCTGCCGTTTCAAATTTCGTGGGGAATCGACTTCAAGTCCGCTTCGAACATATAACCATACCAGAGGCGGACCCAGCAATTTGGCAACACTGGATTTCCTTCATTTAAATCTATGCTACATAATCGATTCTTGTCGGAGCACTTGGCTCCTCCAAGAATCGATACATTTTAATAGCTTTAAATGGAGAAAAGGCAATGTTGCCATTTGCTGGATCCGCCGATGAACTTTACGCGATCTTATGGGAGAATTTGACAATTACCTTTCCGGTAGCTATTATTCTATGACCGGGCCGCCTATTCATTTTTAGCCTGCTGAGCACGCTGTTGGTCGAAAATATCGTAAATCTCGTCGCTGTCGACTATATGCGGAGTGACGGGCTCGACGCAGATGGAGATCAAGCGGACCCGATCGAGGAAGAAGGACATGGCAGCGTCCTCGTTGGTGAATGTCTCCTTGTAGAGGGTGGTGCCGCGCTTCGTCGTGCGGAAGACGATCCAGGAGCGGGTTTGGGGGTCGTCGCCGCGACGGATGGCCACCGTGTTGGGGCCCGGCGGTTCCTTCTCGTCCAACCAGCTCCAGTTGGTCAAATGATCCTCGCGCAGAGTCCGCAGCACGTCTTTTTCCCTCAAAGGCTCGGCGGGATAAAAAGTCGGTTGGTGCAAGTCGAAATTGGCCAAGACGAGCGGATGCATTTGATTCTGATGGCAAAAATGGAATAACCCGAGTAGCAGCGATCTCGATAAATAGCGATTTTATCGGTCGATTATCGCGATTATATCGGTGGCAATTTATCGCGATAATATCGAAACAAAAATCGCGATATATGGCGATTTATTCGATATAATTTCGATAATATTATCGAATAAATCCCCATATATCGCAATTTTTGTTGCGATACTATCGCGATAAATTGCCGGGCGATGAAATCGCGATTTTATTGCAACAAGATCGAGGATTTTCGCTCAGATGTTGATGATCTTAGCGATTTTATCGCCGACGAAATCGCAACAAATCGCGCTTTTCCCGTTGAAAAATGCTACTTGGGAACGAGGATACTTACGAATAATACGGTCGTATTAGAAAAATGTAACGTAGTAGGGCAAAATGTGCTTTAAGGTGGAGAAGAGATGCAAGAACTATACCAAAGCTCAAAGGACTTAATCGAGGGGACTGGAGACTGGAGGGCTGGGCGTATAAGTGCAATGTTTCGATGGTGATGTATGTCGGCTATATCACGTAACTTGGTTCGCGACGCCACTGACTTCCTGTCAGACTTTATATTTTAAACGGAAAACTACTCAACGGCAATTCTTTAAAACTGTCGTGATTTTTATTCTCTGTGCGGAGAAAATTCTGCATAAACGTAAAGTAATGATGTCAATTTGTTCTCATTTAAAAAATAACATAGAGGCGGAGATTTTCAGGCATACCGCAAACGAGTTATGTGATTGTGGACTTACGCCGTCGGTTTGCTGTTACGAGATACATGTCTGAAGTCTCAAAATTACGTGGAGCCTTATGGCGGAAAGAAAGTTCAAAACATTTTTTATGTTTAAAAATAAAATACTGATGTTTTCATGGAGTTAATTTAAGACTAGTTTTAGTTGAAATCATAAAAGGATTGGAATTTTGAATCATGGCTCGGCATTGCGTGTTCAAAATTTCATCCAAATCTGAGGAGGTCACTTTTTTAAAGTGCCATTAGTTGGTATGGAAGCACCCAGTTATTTCATTTCATGTTTTCCCTTAGGTGTCTTCTACCTGTTTTCATCACGAATCATGAACACTTTAAAATAGGTTTTCATGTTATTTATTTATTTATTCATTCATTTGTTTATTTTTTCAATTTAGTTATTGTAAGTCATGCTAAGTGCTCACGAATACCTAAGCCGGAGATTGGTGTACTGGGCGTTTCTCCTATATCTATTAGCAGCCCCTGGTAAAAATTGGCGATATGAACTGCGTTTCAAAATACCATAGGAGTTCTTATAGCCGACTGAAGAGGGCGATAGAAAATCATAAAGCTGGCTGTAGAAAGTGGAAAAAATCATATGGCCGGGCTACACGAAGCGATAAAAAATTAAATAGCCGGGCTATAGTTCCTATCGCCGGGCTTTACACTTTATCGCCTGGCTGATGCTTTTCCGCCATCGGCTATAAAAGGCTATTAGAAATTGTGTAGAAATTCTTGTGCTTTGTAAATCCTTATAAGTTTGTACGGAATCACCTTAATATTTACAAAACGCACATTATATTTTCCTTTACTACACACTTTTTTTCATCAATTAAAATGAGAATAATCCATACAGAGTGTGCAAACATTTCAAAGTCATGAGTTGAAAAACGCTGACTCCGCGAGATTAAATATTGGAGTCTAACACAAAGCGGAGCGGCGGCGCACTGGCGCCTACAAACCTAACAGGGATACTTCACGCACTGCGCAATGCGTGAGGTATCCCTGTTAGGTTCGTAGGCGCCAATGCGCGTTCAGCGCTGGCTGCCCGCCCGCCGCGCCGCGCCGCGCCACAGTGTACCGCGGAGTTTGAAGCAACTATTTCACACCAGAGGTATTGCACAGTATCATACGAAATTGAAGGCGCTCCAACATATTAGGAATGGCAGGCATCCTTCAAAAGGACGGAGCTTCCCTCGCGAATTAAATCAAGATACTGCGGCCCAAAAAGAGAGCGGTAGTCCAAAAACTCACTAAGTACTAGCATCCGTAATTAGTAACGTTTAGCATACACTTTATCGCCAGGCTGTTGCTTAATCGCCATCGGCTATAGAAGGCTATAAGAAATTGTGTTGCCGGCTATAGAAGCTATTGGAAATCTTGCAGCCGGCTGTAGGTCTATGGTATTTATGGAGCAGATATTCTCCTGCCAATTTTTACCGGGGAGAGTATTAGGACATTGCATCTTGATTCATGCTCACCATTTGTAACAATATATTTGAAATGAAGAGGAACTTGAAGCATCCATCTATGTTGATCAGTTTATGGGCTTCCGTACATTTTAAATTGACGCAGTTTCAAACACATAATTTACAGTTTGTATAGAAAATTCACGAAAAAATACCTGCCACGAAAAAACAGTTCGGATGGCGTTTCTGAATCGTAGAATAAAATATTAAGAGTAATAATGCACTACATGGCTAGATGCACCCGTACGATAAACAACGGACAGCTCACAGTCAGAGGTAAGGCGTCAGTCACATTGAAACGACGCAAATGGTAGTGATATTCTCTTGTCAAAGATTGTCATTAGTGATAATCGTAAGGCATGGTTGTCAGGCAGACTTTTAAATGACAATTGCGGTTGTACCCAAAGCAAAAATCCAGGGTGTAAGGGAGACCAAAAACTGGAGAAAAAATCGCATATATTTTTGGCACATCCATAAAAGCTCCTATCTGCATTCAAGAACGAATGCTAGGTGCAAGTGTTTCTAAAATGAGCTAGAAATAGTGGTTTTTCGTTGGTAATCTATAAGAAATCACAAAGTATTTCTGGCTCAATTTGGAAACAACTTTTGGACAGATAGCATTATGCAAGAAAAAACAAGAGGGCATCGGGGTTAATGATGTTTTCATTTTTCGAACGACTGCGCTAGGGGAAAAGGCGCGTACACACTCGTAAGAACTCGCTCGCAGACACGCGGAAATTCGGCAGTTTGTGGTTCCTCTATTTGCGGAGAATACATCTCCGATAGTGCGTTTATCGAGAGAGAGCCCCATGATCAGCGTCTCTATCAAGGAGTTCCTATATATGGGCACTTACGCGCCGTTTCCTAAACACAATCGCCTCGAGGCAGAAACCAGGGTTCTTCAACGGCTTTTTTCCCGTAATGTCATACTTTCGTGTCATAAGTTTCCCAGTGCAGATAGATGCTTTTACATGTAGAGGTGAGTCCAGAAATAGTGATTTCTTCTCCGAAAAGTA